GGGGGGTGTGTGTGTGTGTGTATGTTTAAAATTGTATTTGTATTTGTATGTTTTACTCTTTAAAAAAATTGTATAACCAATAAAGATTACTTTAAAAAAAGAAAAAGAAAGCAAAAGTTTGCATTTATAGCATTTTCAAAATGAGAGGTCTTTTTTTTAGACCACTAAGCTTTGTGTGGCATTCTGGTGATGGCTCTCAAAGGAGGAGGGCCCAGCACAGAGGTGGGTTCCTACCAGTTCGGCTGAATAGGTAGTAACTTGAACGTACCGGTTCTATCCTGGGCGCCGCCATCTTTATTTTCTGTTCTGCACATGCACAGAACAATCTTCATTGAAAAAAAATGTAATTTTCCCCTTTTTTCATGGTTTGCGCATTCCAGTCCCAAAGAGGTTCCAGAGATGAGCCATTTTTTGCAAAAATGGAGGCATTTCTGCTTCCCTGCAGCCTCCAAAAACACTCTGCAGGCTTCAGCAGGGTTGGGTAAAGGGGAAAATGCCTTCGGTTTTGCAAAAAAACGGCCCATTTTCTACCCATTTTTCACAAAAACTGGGACGTTTTTCCCTTCCCCCAGCCCTGCTGAAGCCCGCAGAGTGTTCCTGGGGAGGACACAAACTTTTTTTCTTACTGGGTAGTTTGCAGGTGTTCCCTTAGCTCCGGCGAGGCTGGAGACCCCCCCCCCATCAAAACTTTTTGCCACTGTTTCAGTGGGCATGGCTTGGTGAGGGAGGGTGTCATGTGACTGAATATGCGTGAGTGATGTCAAGTTGGCCACGCCCACTCAGTCACATGGCCCCTGATCTAGCCATGCCCCCCCCTCGAATTTTTGAAACCCACCCCTGACCCACAAGCTATGATAAAATAAGGATTTGTTAAAATTAATTTTGGGTAAATATCATTCCCATGTACGTAGATGTAGTACCTCACTTGTAAGGATGACTTTCCTGTCTTTGTTGGTTCATGACCTTAAATGCATGCATGCTTGTCTGAAAAGAATAGGACTATTCTCACATTTTTCAGCCAGCATAGACGACCCTTTGGGGGAGGAAGTGAAGATAATTTCCTATTTTTAAAACTTGCTGCCTTAAATGTTTTTAGTTGAGGATGGTGGGTGGATTGCTCCAAACAATGCAATTGTATGTCAGCAGGGAATCGCCCATTTCATATTTTCCGTAGCACTTGGAAAAAAGAGACACCAATAACATTCCTATAATGGGACGGGTATGCATTTTGTTGTTTTTTGTTTTCAACAGGGACTCGCCCACATTAAAAAAGGGGGAAAGAAAGTAAGACCAAGCCATTCCTATCCACGGAGAGCTGGCTTTGCTTTTAAAATATGGAGAAATATCTGAAAAGGTCAGGGNTTAACATTTTCTAATGGTGGTGTGCCTCGTGATTTTTTTCATGAAAAAAGTGTGCCTTTGCACAAAAAAGGTTGAAAAACACTGGATTAGGGGACTGGAGGATAAAACATATAAAGAATGGTTGCTGGAATAGTATATGTCTATTCTAGTCTGATGAAAAAAGGACTAGGGGAGACATGATAGCAGTGTTCCAATATCTCAGGGGCTGCCATAAAGAAGAGGGAGTCAAGCTTTTCTCCAAAGCATCTGAAGGCCAGACAAGGAATAATGGATGGAAACTGATCAAGGAGAGACTCAACCTAGAAATAAGGAGGAACTTTCTGACAGAACAATCAACCAATGGAACAGAAGTTGCCTTTGGAAGTTGTGGGAGCTTCATTACTTGAGACTTTCAAGAAGAGATTGGACTGCCATTTGTCAGAAATGGTGTTAGGGTCTCCTGCTTGAGGGTGGGAAGGGTGGAGGGGGTTGGACTAGATGACCTATAAGATCCCTTCCAACTCTGTTAATCTGTCTCTTCAAGGCAGATTTCTTTTATGTTCCATTGGGCGTAGTAAAAGAGGTGCAGAAAAAACGCTTCCGGCCACCCAGTCGGTCGTCTTACGGTTTTTTTTTTTTGCAGCCCAGGTCTGGTTGCCTATTTTTGGAAGGGGCTCGACGCAGTCCAGCCAATGAGAAGCGGAATTCAGAGGCGCCAAAGGAACGGGACCCCTTGAAGTAGTTGCCCAACTCCGAGACTTCCAGAGGGCCCTCGGAAAGGCGTCGCTGTGTCAGAGGAGCGGTTAACGAGATCCAGATGTTCGCGGGGAGGGATTGGTCATCGCCCAGGCGGAGGGCAACCAATGGAGAAGCGCGGGAGACGCCTCCGGCCCCGCCCAAGGCCAGTCCTGGGAACTCAGGGGTGGGATGCGGAGGCGGCTCCCGGGGCTGGGACTTGTGGTTCCCACTCCACGCCAGCCCGGGAGGAGCAAGTCCATCGCAAGGGCCAAGCACCAGCATGCTCGGGAGACCTCCGCTCCTCTCTCTGCTCTTGCTGCGGCTTTTGGGCTGGGGGGCTGCCCTGCCCCGCTCGCAGCTCTTCCTCTTTGGGGGATCCTCAGGGGACCAGGAGCTGCCCGAAGGAGACGACGAGACCTCGGTGCCCGTGCCCTTGCCCAGCCCGCTGCTTTTCTACGAGACCCACTTCAGTCAGCTTTACGTAAGTGCCCAGGCAGGGTCAATCTCTGGCCCTCGGAGGGATCTGGAGGATCGGGGCTGGGGAGGGAGAGAGAAAGAAAAAACAGTCCCCTCCCCTCCCTCAACAAATGTGCGATCCATGCAAGAGTGCGCGAGGGAGAGAACAGCCCGGGCAAGGCAGCCCAGCGGTGCTCTTAAAGGCGAGCCTTCTCTGCTCAGCCTGAGGTGCGAGCCCAATAATTTCCTGGGTACTTAATAAGGCACTGTTTTCGCTGGGAGATTTCTTTCCAGTCTGATGCTCAGTCAACTGACATCAATAGCTCCTCTTTTACGCTCGCCAAGTTCTTTCTAGGAGGCCCAACGTGGTTGGCGAATTAGCGCGTCCCAAAAGTTAGCAGCCTAACCGCTGGCTGGGCCATCCCTTCCAGTCTCCCTGGCTTTGAATTTTGGCGCACGTTGCCACATGATGGCAGATGTCTCGTGGTTGGCTTCAGATGCCTGAAGGCTGGCAATATTCCTGGGTCTCTAAAGCCTTAGAACAAGCCTTTTTAGCACAACCAGAAACGGGGATTATTAGCGCTTACAATTTTTGCTCCTTGCCTGGTAAATTGGGGAAGGAGAGAATAAAAAACCAGGCAAGGAACACAGCTCTGTATAAGGCATGAAAAACCAGTTTCCCCTCATAGGATGAATAGATTTTTGAAGTTCTCCAGCTTTCCTTTTGTGGTATATTGGGAAGGAAGCATCTAGTTGCGCTTCAGGCTTAAAGTCAATTATGGTATTGTTAAGATTTCGATGGCAGAGAACTCCAAAGATGGGAGGGGGGGGGGAAACAATAGGCTAGAATTGAGTCAGGAAATCCAAGGAGGATATTATAGACTGCCTCAAAGCCTCCCCTTGCTAAAATCCCAGCCAGTTTCACCTGAAGTTTGTTTCAACCATTTTTAGCACTCTCTTCTCTTGCTCCCTTTTACACCAGAACTTTGTACAAACTTTATCTAACCTTGAGTTGTTTTATACACTGCTTCTTATTGCTTCCATGTTCGTGTTAGGTGAAAAGTACTTAGCGATGCTGGCTGGGGAATCCTGGGAGTTGAACTCCACACTACTACTACTACTACTACTACTACTACTACTTCTACTACTTCTTCTTCTTCTTCTTCTTCTTCTTCTTCTTCTTCTTCTTCTTCTTCTTCTTCTTCTTCTTCTTNTTGTTAAGTGAGTTTCACCACATTTTACAAGTTGGCCATGCCCACACAGTCACTCCCAAGCCACTCCCACCTGGTCACATGGCCAGCAAGCCACTCCCACAAAGCAGGCCATACCTACAGAAGAGATTATAAAAAAAATAGAAACCCACCACTGGGCTCCACCCACTTGCCCTGACACTTCTGGGCATATGCAGAAGCATTGCACGCATGAACGAACAGGTAGTAAAAAAATGGCAACTTACCACTGAATCAAACGGTTGCAGTCCAAACAGAAAAGACGTAACAAAGGGCAAAAAATGATCCACGAAATGAATGCCGGTCCATGAGGAAAGACTTTGGGATTTCTGAGTTTTTAAAGCAATGATGGGAAAACAGTTTGTTTTCAACAGATCTTAAGAGAAGCAAAGGCAGATAGAAAAGTGAATTGCATTCTCTCTGTGTGTGGAATTGCCTTTTAGAGTTTTTTTTTTGAAATGGGGGGATGTATACAGGAAAGCTTGTTTTCAACAGTATGTTCATTTTAGATCTGCTCTAATGGTTTTTATGTTTCCTATCTCAAATTGGCAGGAAAGTGAATTTTTGCAGTGCAACGGACAAAGGGTTTAAGGTTGCATGTGATCCTGGTACGATAGCCTGTCCCTCTGGTTTGGAAGGAGAATTAACAATGATGCATGATAAGCATCTACGGTAAATGTAGGCTTATGGAAAAGCTTATTTTTAGCCCAATCTCAGGCCATCCACCAGAGCTGAATAGTGGAAGATGGACTGTTAAAGAAAACATTTTGCTGCATCTCAGTGAATTTTTTCAACGTGCATTGTTTTAAAAGAGGGCTAGAAACATTCCTGGAGTTTATCACTAGCTTCTGATCAGGGTGGTTATATTTTAACTTCAGAGTTAGGGCCCTGTTGGTGGGTTCCCTTTGAATCTGGCTGGTATTAACCGGAATGCAATCAGGAACAAGAAATACTTTGGTCTGACCAACGTGAGGCTCTTTGTATGTTGAACGAAGGGGAGCAGTAGCCCGAAGACACATTTGCAATAGAAGATGCAGGAGGGGAATTGGTAATCAGGAATATAATGTTTTCTAGCAGGGTATGGTGGCAAATTGTGGTCCCCATTCGCCCCCCTTAACTTCATAGTGTTGTTCCTCTAGTCCAGAAGGAGTGATAGAATGTGTCCCCTTTTTGTCACGCATTCTCAAAGGTCCGTTGAGAGTGGCTTTGTAAATCAGCATCCAACTGACCTTTGCTCTTGCCCTTTGACCCTTAAGCCCCTGGATCCTTTTATCTGTCAATTTTCCCCTTTAAAGCTCTCAGCAAGCTATCGGTTGCCTTGTGACCCTTGTTTGTTCTTTCACCCTCCATTTGTTTGCTAAGGGCACGATCCACCCATGGGGTGGGGGGAGGGGAGGTCTCCTCTGCAGTACTTCACCCCAGAGCTACAGAGGATTCTGGCAGGATTCCTACGTGCTTTTCATTCTTGGCAAAAGAGAATTCTGCAGAGCTTCTCCAGCAGATCAGGCTCTGAATCGTGTCCTGCTTGGTCTTAGTGCCTTCATGCCAAATTCTCTCCTTCCCCCTCCCTGCCTTATTTGCCCAGGTTTCCAACTCCCCGGTGTTTTTCCTTCCCAGATCTCTCCCTCCCAAACTCGCCCAAATTAGCCCTGTTTACACAGCTCAGCAGTTCCATAGGTCTGCCTATGTGCCACTGGACAACAATCCCTCCTTTATAACCCTGGCAGGAGTGGTGAAGGCTTGCCATCTGAAAATGCTCAGAATCTCTGAAATGAGAGCCCCTCCCTGATCTCTGGACACTGCTGAGAGCAAATGGCTGAGGCCCACAAACTTCTTTCCATGACTTTACAATATCCCGTTCCTGTTAGGGGGGGGGGGGAAACCCAGCATTAAAAGAACTCTAGCCTAGTGATGGTTAACCTTTTTGGTGCTGAGTGCCCAAAGTGTGTGTGCACCCCCACAAATGCACGTGTGTGTGCCCCAATCCCCAAAATGCAATGCGAGTGCCCCAACAGGCATGTGCCTGTGTTCCCTGCGCATCCCCCCCCCGTGCATGGGCCCCGCCTCCTGTTTTAGCTTCCAGCAGGAGGCTTTTCAAGCCCAAAATGCGGCATTGGGGGGGGGCGGGTCGAGATCTCTAGAGTTTCTCCCCACTGCGCCCAGCCTTTCTCCTCCATTCCTGCCTCCCATTCTTTCCACGATCTACAGAGATCGGTGAAGGCCAAATGCATGTGTGGCAGAGACCTGAATACTAGCTGGCCAGCAGAGGCACACACACATGTGCGATGGAGCTGGGCTGGGCGATGGCTGGCGTGCCTGCAGAGAGGGTTCTATGCACGCTTGCCATAGATTTGTCATTACGGCTCTAGCCAGTGCTTTTTTGAGAGAAGCCAACCCTCAATGGTTGCGTACGTGCTTTGCATGGAGAAAATGCAGGGTTTGAGCCCCACCAGAGGTGGGTTGCTCCTAGTTTGGCCCGGATCGGCTGAACCGGTGGTAGCGGCAGCAGGAGGCTCCGCCCACCCACCTGGATTCTTCTGCGGATGCGCGGGATTGCACCCAAACTAGTAGTAAAAATATTGGCAGTCCACCTCTTGAGCCCCACAAGTCAAAGAGCTGCTCTGTAGAAGACTTTTCCTTATCAGTTTAGGGGTTAGCTGCATCATAGTCCTGTCCTGGAAGATTGAAAGGGGAAGGAGACTTCAGGAGAGCGTAACCTTGGTTCCAAGGTGCCATGGAAAATAGTTTTGACTTAGGATGATGGGAACCATGGTCAGAAGCTGAACTGGCCCAAGATAATTTTTGGCCCATAAAAAGTATCAGATGATTTCTCTAGTTTGTCTTGGTTCTGTGCCCAAAAGCCAATTCAGCCATGGATTGTGGGGTTGAGGTGAGATAGGGTTAAACTTTGCTTTAACTCTTAAGGAGGTGTTTTTGAGGTGGCAAGATAAGATGCAGACTAGATTAGCCATACGGCGCATATAAAGCTGTGTTCAGTATCTCTGCCTGTTTCCTTCTACTCTGTTCTCCTCCCAGCAGAGGACAGGGGAGACATCTGCTTCCCTTGGCAGCCACGTCTCTAGGAAAATACATCAGGCATTAGTCTTCTGAGATGATTCTTGCATTGTTTCCACTGCTAGGGCTGAAGTACACAACAGGTTTTTGCACATGGATCCGGAATTGGTTGGACGATGACAAGTACTTCCTAGGACTGTGATGGCAAACCTATGGCATGCGTGCCAGAGGTGGCATGCAGAGCCCTCTCTGCTGGCATGCACGCCGTTGCCCCAGATCAGATCTCCTTGGCGTTTCTTTCATGAGCTTCTATTTCCCTGCAAATGACAAAACAGAACCTTACTTCTTGCTGCGCTGCTGTTGTTGGAATGCCCCACGTCCCACCGGTCAGCTGATCTTCGAGTGTCTGCTGTGCATGCCCACTCATGCCTACATCCATGTATGTGCACATCCCTGCATGCCTGCACACATCCACGCATGCTCATGCATGCGCACCTTTCAGGTTGGGCATGCACACACACAGTTTGGGCACTCGGTGCCTAAAAGGTTCCCCATCACTGTCCTAGGATGTTGAGGTACGACCATTAGATAATTTGGAGCAAACTTGGCAACTTTAAGATGTGTGGACTTCAACTCCCAGAATTCCTCAGCAAGCATTGGGAGTTGATGTCCACACATCTTAAAGTTGCCAAGTTTGAAGAAAAAACTGATCTGGAGGAATTCTTGAGCTGGCAGGCATTGGGATGCCAAAACTGCTTTAAACATACCTTGGGAACTAAAC